TGTTCTTTTGGTGATAGAAGTAGTGAAAAACCATTTAGATGAGAAGTATAGATGACTACATCCCATGTAAAAGTGATATAGATAGTATGAATTTATAATCTGTAATTTACAAACTCTCCAAAATGGAAATTTCCAAGTCTATGAATTCACCTGAAACTATCACCAGTATTTATAGGTGCCATGATAAAGAAGGGGAGGAAATGCTTCTAACACAAGCATTATCTGATGTCAAAATGACTTAAAGATAGTAAAAGGAGAAAGAGAATGAAAGTACAGAAAGAGAAAGAAAGAAAGAAAGAAAGAAAGAAAGAAAGAAAGAAAGAAAGAAAGAAAGAAAGAAAGAAAGAAAGAAAGGGAGAAAAGGAGGAAGGGAGGAGAGAAAGGGAGGGAGGGAGGGAAGGAGGGAATCAGTATCTAGCAGAATCATAGAAACAAAAAGCCTCAACAAATTATTAAAAATCAAATTCAGTAGTGTACAAAAACATGCTAGGTCATGAACAAAAAGTATTTATTCTAGATGTTCAAGACTATTAAGCAGACCCTCACACAACCCTTAAATAGCCCCTGAAGATTCTTGACTGACCTTAACAAATGTATATAAAGTTATTTTTTTTTTATTAACACAAGGCTTACTTTTGACTTGGCTTCAAACACACAGCAGAAAACTATCTGAAATAGTAATATAATTAAAAATATCAAAAAGATACGTTAACTATGAAACACTGCACCTGCTCAGATTGTAGTCTTTATATATACCAAGTTCCACCAGCCCTGCCAAAAAGGTGTCTTTAGCCTGTGTTAATTGTCCTTATATTTATGTATCCCTCAGTAAAAATGTATTGCTTAGATAAGTGAGCTTATAAGATAAAAATGCCAATATAAATATTCTAGCTACTAAACATTATTACTTTGGGGTATAAAGTAACTTTCTGCTTTCTAATTCAGGTTTTACATGTTTATGTTATTTAGAATTAGTCACTACAATGATATTTGTATCTACACAGTACAGGACAAATCTGAGGCCTCTGGAGTTAATTCTGTGTCTTCTAATCTGCTCCATTTATTCTTGTTACGGTTTGTGTCTAGTTGTCCCCCTAAAGCCTCATGCAATCATTGGGTGGCTTCAGGAGTTTCTGATTGATTCTTGTAGGTGTGGGCACTACACCTGCCCTGGCACAGGTAATTTACATTGCAACGTAAGGAGGGGAGAGAGGCTAGCTAGCTGCCTGAGCTGCTGCCACTCCTTCTGGCTCTCTTGATCTTTGCTGCAGCCATGAACAGCTTGTCTATGCCATGTGCCACTCTGCCTTGGAGCCAGCTGAAAAGATGGGCTAAAATCTCCACAAACTGAGCTAAATAAACCTTTCATTCCTTAACTTGGGGTGTCAGGTATTTTTTTCCCAGCAACAAGAGAAAGTAACTAAGACAATCCTTAAGTCCATTTTATTTTTTGCAGTACCATGCTGTTTATGTCATGGTAGATTTGTAGTTTAATTTCAAGTCAGGGATCGTGGTGTCCCCTGGCTTCCTGTTGTTGCTCAGAATTGCTTTTGCTATTCTAGGCATCTTTTTGTACTAAATGAATTTTAGAAATGTTTTCATCACTTCCCGGCCTTTTGGCTAAGATCAAGTGTAGAATTGTTTTCATTCATTCTGTAAAATATGCTATGGGTATTTTGATTGGGGTTGCATTAAATCTGCACAATAATATTGGGGTTTTGGCCATTTTCAATATATCAGTTCTTCTACCCAAGGACAAAGGATATGTTTCCATTTTATGGTATCCTCCAATCTCATTTTTCAGAGAACTATAGTTTTCAATGTAAAGATCTTACTTCCTTCACTAGAGTGAATCCAAAGTATGTATGTATGTATTTATTTATTTTGTATGCTATTGTGAAAGGTATTATTTCCTTAACTTCTCTCTCAGTGATTTTGTTATTTATGTGCAGGCACGCAATTCATTTTCTTACTACGAACATTGTATTCAACTATGATATTGAATCTGGTTAATTAAATCTAGGAAATTTTACATGGGTTTTTAGGATCTTCTATGTGTCATATTATTCTAAAATAATAATTTAATGTCTTTCTTCCCTAACTTTATTCTTTTTATTTCTTTTTCTTATCTAATTGCTGTGGCTAATGTTTCCAAGACTATGGTGATAGATCCCCTGGAGTTTTTAATTTGCTTTTTT